TGTTTTAACTGCAGTGTCTCTGTATGCTGGTTTTTGTGTTTTTCTACACAAATCTCCCAATGCTTCTCTGAACGTACTCGCTCTCCCAATGGGGAGCTTACCTAACAGGCATAGCTTAGTGGGCGTGGCAGGGGAAGGATACTGCAAAATCCCCATTCCCTCCCGATCAGCTGGGACTCGGGAGGCAGAATAGATGGGGGTGGGGCCAGTCAGAGGTGGTATTTACCGCTTCTCTGAAGTACTCAAAGTTTCTGCTACCGGTTCTCCAGAACTGGTCAGGACCTGCTGAGTACCACGTCTGCACTTGACCCTTCCTTTCTGTGGCAGCCCCTCAAACAATGGAACACTGCTATCATGTCTTCCCTGCTCCTCCTTTTCATCAAACTAGACACACCCAGTTCCTGCAACCATTCTCTATATGTTTCAGCCTCCAGTCCCCTCATCATCTTTGTTGGAAGACAATCATTTTTGGAAGACAAGGAGTAAAACAACTGATGGTTACTTTCAATAATGGGAGGGGGAGGGGAGAGAACCAGTCCCACCGCCGGTACCTTTACCTTCCTCTGTCGCTCAGGTATATTAAAAACCGTCGGAATCGCTTCCGGCTTGAGGTATCGCCTACCGGAAGCCACATTTTCTAGGTAATCTGCCTCGCAAAAATGTTCTGAGCAGAGCACATGGTGACGTGTGGGAGTGAAATTCTTCCGCCGAATGTTCCAGACCCATTTTTTTAAGACGTCTTTTTTTCCAAGGGGAAACCTACAGGCAAATAACAACACAACAGGCATAATAGCAATAACGCTTAAGACTTATTATACAGCTTTGTAGTGCTTTACAGCCATGTCTGAATGGTTTACAAGAGTTGGTCCAACCATCTGAGGCCTTATTTTACCGACCTCGGAAGGATGGAAGGATGAGTCAACGTTGAGCCCAATCAGGATCGAACTGTTGGCAGTCGGCAGAATTAGCCTGCAGTACTGTATTCTAACCACTGCGGCACCATGGCTCTTAATGATGAAGAGGATAACATTAATGATGTCACAATAATTTCACTAGTAACAACAAGTAACAAGTTGTTGCTGGGTGCTGCTTACTGCTGTGAAAGGATGTAGGAAAGACCTTGGGGGATGAAGAGACACTGTCTAGGGAACAAACAGATAAGAGGCAGCATAGCCCAAAACTGCATAACAGGTGGATAAAGGGCTCAGGAGGGGCCCGTGCTAAGGCTCTAAAGCAGATAGTGGGGGTTCCACCACAAAACCGCGTTCGACTAAAGTGCGCTCGACGAAATCACGTAGCTGACGTCATCAACAGGGCGACAACAGCGCGGAGAAGCAGCACACTGTAAACGCTAAACCTAAAATTAACCTCTAAACCTAAACCTACCCCCCCTAAACCTAATC